GTAGGCCTCTCCTCTTTGCCTGCAGAGTGTAGCTTTTCGTTTAACCATTCATCAACATTTCGTTGCCTTTTTATACTTACTTTTATTTTTGGTTGGAAATGTTTCTTTTTACGATGGACTGTAGGCAATATATGCTCTTTTTCATTTTGTCGAACAATATTTTATTAGATTTTGTCTGACTTACTAGTATGTTATTATCCTCCATCAGTATATCATTCTCTTCTTCCATCGGTTCATTATTACTCTATGAATCTACCATCTCATTTTCAATCTCGTTGTCTGATGATGAGTCGATGTAATCTTTCGGATCTGGTACGTATTCATCACTAGAGTTGTCTCCGAATAAGGTATCGCAACTTGAATCGTAGTTATTGTCTTCTCCATCATCTGACAAACAAAAGATATAGTCAATTTACTCTAGTAGTTATAAGGCACTTAACCTACCCTTAGCACTTTATAAGTCGTGTCTTGCTATGACAAATTACATAATAATCATAACAAAACTGGTTATTTCAATATTTATAATAATATTGAAAATATTATTATGAATACAGTTATTATATTATATTATATACAGACATTAGTATTTCTCTTAATACGGCTCTTAGAGTGCTACTGTTAGTTTCACAAAACATATTAACACATATCTCCTTCATCTACGAGAATAACTCGGTTTTTGTTAAAAATATTACATACCTCCTTCATCCACTCAGCCCTTCAATTCTTTTATTGACTGATGCCTTAAATAGATTAGTCGTTGTTCATGTGGAGAACCATTTTTTCATAGTACGGTCTAGTTATCTAGTCCAGATTCTCGATTCAAGTCTAGAGTATATAGTATTCAGAAGATATAAGAACGTAGGAGCCTTTTTCTAAAATAAGAACATCTGTCTGATTGTCCTCTTGCTCTTCTTGAACTCCAAGTATTTGGCTAATTGTAATACGCAATTGACGTGGAATATTCGTCATTGTCATTCGTCTTTTCATGGGATCTTGCACTGACTGTATAGCCAACACCAAAGCAAAAACCCTTTTTTATTATTACTGGATTGTTTTTGTAGCACTGATGTAGAATGTATGAATTTGCTATAGAAATGTCCAATACGCGGAAAAAAATGTTAAGGGCCATCTTCGGGTTCGACGGCTTGATGTGCTTTTGGAGCATTTCTCATCTAGGGAATCTACACCTCCCTTATTCTCATTGTAATAAGAAATAATTTCTGGTTTGTTAGTAGAGGGATCACTATATCGTCTATTATGCATTGAAGATATAAGTACTGAAGCCTCTTGCACTTTTCCTACATGAGAAATTAAGATACATTCTTCCTTAAGTCCATAAATTGTTGACCCTTCAGGACTGTTTCTGTTGGGCATAAAAGATGGAAGTATTTCAGCCTTATTTTTTTTTTCAATGTGCCAAGATAAGTCAAATTTTTCTTCCGCAAAATATCCACCAATTCAATAGAACAATACCAATTATTAGCTGTGATATTTCGGTTGCTACCAAAAAGCTGTTCAGCTAAGTGCAACATAGCTTGTGTAGGCTTTAGAATTTTTTTGTACTCGTCATTGATACCAAATCCATCTGAGTCTTTTCCGTTGTAGATATAAGCATTATACAAATAACCATTACGTGCATCCGTAAGACACGTATATTCCGAATCCGTATTTAGCCGGTTTGTTAGGCATGTACATTTTAAACTGGCATTTACTTCGAAAATGTACAAGTATTTCATCAATTGTGGCAGATTGATTTACGTTCATACACACTTTGATAATTTTCTACGAAAACATTGAATATAAATAAAATAGCTGCAGTTGGATCATCTTTTTGCGTTCCTCCCTGTAATTACTGTTTTAATGGGAATGAGCCACAATTGAAGTTTAAATTAAGTTTATTGACAATTACTTTAATATTCCTCCCTGTCTTCAGTATTGTCGAATCGGATAGCAACTAAAAAAACAGCAAATCGTTTTTTGCTTATGACTGCTTTGAGGATTTCTTTTTCAGTTCCATATGTTGTAAATAAACTACATTTTCGTGACTGTAAAGAATTATCTATAAAGAATTAAAAGTATTAAATCGTTTGTCAGACGACGCCGGACTAGTTAAGGGTTAAACAACTTAACACTAAGCTTTTAGGTAAAGGTAAATTTTTGACCAAATATGTAACTTTTTAATAACGCCCTGTAAGGCACACGGTCAGCTCGCTCCAAATGCAGGCCCACGTAAATCTATTTTTAATATCTCTGAAAAAAATTAACATAAAAACATTTATCAAAGCTTAAAATGTTCATTTTAAATTATTCTATATGTTTATCAGGAAGAGGATCAGAATGCTATAATCTTTTCCGATTCACTTTCCGTTCTTAAAATTTTAAAATCAAACTCAAACACAACTAATGATATTATTTTTAGCATCCAAGCAATACTTAAACAATTACAAGATCAGAATAAATATATAAAATTCTTCTGGGTCAAAGCACACGCAGGAATAACAAACAATGAAATTGCAGATCAAATTGCCAAAGAAAGCATAGTAATGGGGAACAAATAAATTACGAATTAACTACAGACGAACAAATAATCATAGCAAAACAGAGAATGATGAAGAAATGGTCCTATTTATGGCAAGAGTACAGCTTCACAAATCCAACACGTTACACCAGACTTGAAACCAAATTAAGGAGAAAACCTTGGTACAATGAGTACAATTACAGTAGAAAAAGTATAACTACTATCAGCAGAATGAAGTTTGGTCACGCATGTTATCCAGCACATTTATTTAAAATAAAAATACTTGAGAGTGATCTTTGCGAAGCCTGTAATAAAATCGGTGATCTTGACCACATCTTTTTTGATTGTTTAAAATATAGAGCTCAATCTAATGAGCTTTTCAGTAAACTTTTAAAATTAAACATTGAAAGCCCATTTAATATACTGCATCTTCTTGCTTTAGAAAAAAAAGAAATTTACGATTGTCTGCTGTCTTTCGTCAGAACAACGAATATACAAATATAACCACCTTTGTTAATTCCTTTTGTCTTTCCTTAATGTATGCATACCTATCTGTCCGAGGCCTACCTTTTATCGTTTATAAAAATGCCCTGATCGGCCCCTGGGCGAGAAGAGTGTAATCCCTGTATCTCTTTTTAAAAATTTGTTTCTGGCTGTGTGGGTATTTATCCTAAACTCTTATAAACAAATTAATTCATCACTTCTTAACGAAAGTTTTAACTATAAACTGCTATAACTTTTTTATTTATAATGATAAAGTAAAATGCATCTCTGAATCTACATGACTTTACGTATGTATTATTTTTTATTCGCTGTGAACTGACCGTGGGCCGCAGAGCGCGTTATTAAAAGTTCCATATCTTGGTCAAAAATGAACATAAAAACATTTACCGCTTAAAATGTTCGTTTTGAGTTGTTCTATAACGTCCATTGGCCAATTTCTTTTAAGTTTATAGCTTCATTTTTTTGAAATCTCTTATAAACAAACTAATAACTTCCAGATACTCCGGTTTTTGTTCTAATAGGCTTTAAAGCCTTTTCTTCAAGATTTGGTCTCTACTATTTCAGGTTTTGTTCATGTCTCTTGCATACAGTGTTTCCTACTAACACCACCATCAACAACAATATCTCCATATTCTTCTGAAGCTATTTTCTTGTGGCATGTTAATATTGTCTATTAACTTAATGGAAATTAGCCAAAATGTTGTTGAAATCACGTTTATTTTGACGTTTAGATTTCCATTTCGAAAATCGTTCTCACAATACTTATAAAGAATTCTCACAATAAGAACGAAATCGCACTTCAAAATAAACGTTTTTTAAACTAAAATTTTGGTTAATTCCCGTTAAACATAATAGATAGCAATGTCTTCAGCATAAATTAAAGACCCACGAATATCACTTCGCAATTTCCGTGTTTCAATTGAGAAATTATGTCAACTGGAATAATTTCTTTATCGGAATCACTGTTGTTAGTTTCATCCAGCTTCCGAATTATTGGCTATTAGGGTCTCGTCAGTAGTTCGGCAGCAGGGTACCTTTCTGTATGCATGGAAGGGTGGATAGTTGAACATTATTCTATCTTATGTACAATTTTTCGCTGAATACGAATATGTAGGTCCCCTATCCAAAAAAGTGATACCAATTTTTATAAACAATTTTTTTATAAATAAATTTTCAAATTTGAATATTTTAATTTACTAGTCCCATCGTTAAGTAAGGCTAAAATATAAGGCGTTATATATAAAGGGTTATAGTTTAAAAGTTCTTAAAATTTTTAAGCCGAGAAATCGAAGATTTAGTCCTCATAACTTTTTACATGCGCATTTGTCTCTAAAAGTTGCACATAACTAGAAATTTTGAACTTAATTCGATAATTTACTATTAAAAAAATTGAAGCTTTCTTTTTCATTGAGTTAACAAGCAATAAACAAATAGCTTTTCGTCCTTTCTGAATCTCAAGCACACAACGGGCTAGTACGTGTTGACTGAATAGTAGCTTTTTTAAAATTTCAATAACTGCTCGATGCAGGCGAATGTCGACAGCACGTACTAGCTCAGTTTAAGCTTTTGATTCTGCAAGAGCTTGTTTATTGCTTGTTAACTCAATGAAAAAGAAAGTTTATTCTATTTTTTTCGGTCGTAAATTGTCTAAAGTTCAGATTTCGAAAAAAGTTCGACTAAAAGTCACATCTTCGATTTATCCTTTTTTAAAATTTTAATAAATTTTGAACTACAAACTTGTGATATATAGCATTTTTATTGTATTTTAGCCGTACTTTACGATGGTACTAGTTGTAAATTAAAATATTCAAATTTGAAAATTTATTTATAAAAAAATGTTTATTGGTATCAGGTACCCTGCTGTCGCACTACAGTGATTCTAGACTATTTCTATTTTTTTCATAATATTTACTTATTGTCATACTATTTAATTGTTATTGTATATTGAAAAAAAAATTAAGCTATCTTTTTATAATAGGGAATGATGGATAGAAGTAATGATTGTTCGAATAGAGGCTGGCCTATACCAATCATGAATGGTCCTGATAGGAATCACCAAGATAGAAGACCAAGATCTAGTTGTGACATACCATCAGCTTCTCGAGTACCTGGAATTAGGTAAGCTTTAAATTAGAGAAAAACCTTTTATTTGAAATAATTTTTTTTTCTAAATTTTTTGTTATATAGACTCGTGAGTTAGGTATTATTGTTACATTATTATCGTATATAATATCATAAGAGAGAAAATTTTATCGGCAATATTATCGGCAAAACCAGAAAATTTTGCCGGTAAATAATTTTCTATCGAATGATATTCGACAACACTATTTCACGAGACAATTAATGCACCATATCAACGAAACATAATCTTTATTTATTTGTTAACAATATTAAGTGTACAAATATTATAAGCTATACTAGTTTGCCCAATCTTTTATACCAAATCATGATTTTGTGTATTATTGACCTGTAGCATTTGGGAACTCGAAGGTCCAGCTTCATTTGTTGTTCTGAGATTTTCGATCAACTTCTGGTGTTGACTGGAATCCAGCTGCAGATATGGTTTTAGAGAGCTGCTTGAGACCCTATTTAATCCGTGAACACGTTGTGTAGTTGTTATTTTAATGTTTTTTGTGTCTATTCAATTTTTTCAGCTGGCATTTTTGTCCACTTAGATACGGTGTTGATTCCAAGTGGACAGTTTTTGAACCAAGATCTTTCATTAATTTTAATTTGATTAATTTCTTACCAGCTATTTTCTGCTTGTCAAACTTTTCGAACCGACTCTATTTGTTTTGGAAAAAATGCTGTTGTATTCAATTCGGTCCGTAAATTCTCCTATAACATCAAATTCCTTCTGGAAAAAGTGAATCTTGCAATTTCTGGCCTCATTGCCTCTCCAAGCAAGTTCAAATGAGCAAAGGTGAAAAATCTATTTTTGTTCTCCATCGGAGGTTTCCTCGTCGTAGCTTTGGATGATTTTTAATAGTCCTTCGGTGGATAATGCTTTTGAACTGAGTTTTCTTTTTTACTTTAATACTTTGAAGCTGCCTCCCCTTGTTATCTCTGGTCAATCTTGCACATTTAAAAGGTATATCTGTGAAAAGGTCGATTTTTATGCCGTATTCCGTAAAACATTTTTCTTATACCATTTTTGCTTTATTATTCCACATTGACTTTACAGACGACTCTTTATAGTCTTCGCTATCGCCTTTTTTCATGTTAAAGGCATAATACTCGAAAATTTTTGCTAGCTCCGTTATGGTAGTACAGTTCCCGTCATATAAAACTGGTACACTTTTTTTCCCAATGTAAACCTGTGTTTAGACTTGGTTCGTGAATCAATTCGTTGTTGCCATCACAGATAACGAATTGCACTAAATCTAAATAAAAAAAGAACGTTCAAAAATGTTTAAAGTTTTTATATAGGTATTATTATTATCATTAACAACAAAAATCGTATCTAATAAATTTAATAACCAGAGAGAGGGTTGCGTTAATGCCCAAAATGTTTAAAGGATCTTAAACGTAGGGTATTGGCACAGGGAACATTGGAATGCATCTACTGTAATTTTATAATATGTCTGTCGCACAGCCCTCCTTTTCGCTGATTTGATATACTATTTTGTTGAACTGCCAACGTTGCCATAGAAATTAGAATGACATATGTGACAAGATCAACTTACACAACTTAAAAAACACGATTTTTGGTTATAAGAGTTGCACCAGTTTTTTATGACGCGAAGGGTACATCTTTTAAACGTAAAATTTCTCACCCGTAGGAACTCAAAAAGTTGGGTCCAAATATAGTTCCTGGACTTCTGCGTGTTCAGTGGGACATTTTTCGAAACCGATTTTTTGATTTCTTCACATGACTGGCATCCAAATCTTGATTGTTCGTCTGGATTCATTATATCTGTCCAAAATTGATAACGTCTCAACGGCGTTTGTCAAACTGACAACAATAGAATTACCAGGCACCTTCGTGATCGATCTGTCATAATTTTGTTGCTGAGAAGTCACCATCTACCAAAAAGACAAAAGAGGGAATCTAATCGTTATGAAAAGGAGACCAAAAAAGTGGCCTCTGATGGCGGACATATCCGGAAATGCGAATGCGCCAAATTTAAATTTTTCGACACTTATTAACAGTAGCTATAAAATAGTTTTCAGAATGTGTCTTAGACGAGAAACTTTAATAAATATTAACGATAACAGTCTAAAATGTGATACAATTGTTAAAAAACTTCAATATAAATAAGATTTCATGTGACAGTTGGGACAAACAATAACATAACCCAACTAAATTTGATTTCTTAAACAAGGAAAGACTCTCTTTCCTTGTTTAATGTGTCCTCTCAAGATGGCACTTCCTGTCTAACAATATTTTTGCCCCCACTACCTTTACATTCCCTCTTTTGTCTTTTTGCTCGATGGAAGTCACGGACAGGTAGGAGTTTTGCCAGTAGGAAACGTGGCCTTGCTATGACGTTTTATCAGTTAAAAATAGTCTAGTGAAATAGTCACTATAAATTTTCTTAATGTTACCTAAAAATTTTTTTATAACATGTAATGTAAAATCAAGACTATGTATACATTGTATATTTTTAATGTTTTTTTTTTGTAATTATTGCTATTTTTGTGTACTTTATGAGCATTTATACGAAGTTTTATAACATTGTACACTGTGAGCTTGTTAACAATTCGTCTGGCGCTGCGGTAGAAAATAATAGCAGGAGTCCGCCGAGTCGTATAATTAAAAAAAATATAGCCGTATATGAAAGCACTTATTCTTTTTTACAATAACATAAAATCGTTTAACATAAAATATAAAACCAAAGTTAAAGTTGCTAAAAAATCTGATGAAACAAAAATAAACCAGTCTATCTGTGAAAAAATCATTGATTGATATACGAGAGGTAGCTAATGAAAAATCCGTGAATAGTTACAGCTTTTGCTTTGTTTTTTTTTAACAATGTTAAAAGATGAAAAAATATTTCGTCTGCAGGGTGTTTCAAAAAAAGGTAACCCCGTCTCTAGGGTAGGTAAGAAACTGAAAAATAATTGGGGTTTGCTTAGTAAAAAATTTTTGTAACGCCATCCGTTTTCAAGATACATGGCGTTGAAGAAAAAACAATTTACGCATTTTTTACGATTTTGCCGAAACTACTGGCAACATTGTAATGAAATTTTATACGAATATGTTTTGGAAGCTGATACATCCCATAAATTTGTTTTTATATCTGATTCTCATAGAGGGCGCTAGTTACACGGATCGTACTAAATATTAGTCAATATAACTTTTTTAAGAGTATAATCATTAATCAAAATTTCAAGTAAACTTAAACATCATTCAATTTTACACGAAAAAGGTACTCTTGGTAAAACTCGATACTGTGTACCGTTTTCGGAATATTTTGATTTAAAAATTCTGAAGTAATAATTGATGCTGGTAGTAATGATAAAGTTCTAATAGGTATACCTCTATTTTCTCCAAGTGTGCCATGGAAATCTGACATTTATTGATTGTTATGACGATAAATCAACAATAAATAGAGTTTTTAAACATTGTTATTTGTAAAATCAAATCAAAATGTACTCAAATATTGAATACACTGACATGTTATTAACCTTAGACGAATGTTTAGGATGTTCTAGTGCAGCTGTGACACGTTATACAGAAAAGTTTCTTAGAAGAAACTTACCAAGTAAAAAAACATTTAGAGCCGTTGAACGACGTTGTCGAGAAACTGGGAATGTGAAACCAAATAAAATAATCATGAATGTGTTGCTTGTGTGAGTCCATATCAAATAGGTAAAGAAATAATAATAAGACTTACTCACAATCAATTTAATTTAACAATCTGACGACCGGTTTCGCTTTCTACAATTTGCAAAGCATCTTCAGGTCCAGATACAAAGTTAAACTAATGCTGCAATAAAATAAACCCAATTAGGGTGGTGTCTAATAAAGATAAAATAAACAAATAAGTTAGTTCATACAAATTCTAGTAATTATGCCAATATTACATGTCTGTGGTTTTCAAAATGAATAAATTTGAATATATAAAAGGTATTAACAGACAAGGTAAGACCCACAATTGGTATAAAGTAGTAATATTATATTGTAATAAATTAATAAATGAGCAGATAAATAAAACAAAACAAACATTACTTACATGCCGGTACTCTATTAATTGATGGATGGTATGTCATGGTTGCAAAAATCATGTATTGTTGATTGGAGAACTTTAATGTGCTATTGCAGTTGTTTTGACAAAGGTATATTGTGGTTGTTTGTCAGATGAAAGTGATGTTCTTTACTATTGTATTATTTAAATTATTTACACTTATATCAGAGATATATTTTTGGAATATGTGTTATTTATTGAGTATTTATGTAATGAAGGAGACAATAAACTTCACTTCAATAAAGTCTCCTTCATTACATAAATACTCAATAAATAACACATATTCCAAAAATATATCTCTGATATAAGTGTAAATAATTTAAATAATACAATAGTAAAGAACATCACTTTCATCTGACAAACAACCACAATATACCTATCTCTAATTCATTGGATCAAATCTGTTCTCCTCAAGAACTTCCCGTTTATTGTCAAAACAACTGCAATAGCACATTAAAGTTCTCCAATCAACAATACATGATTTTTGCAACCATGACCTACCATCCATCAATTAATAGAGTACCGGCATGTAAGTAATGTTTGTTTTGTTTTATTTATCTGCTCATTTATTAATTTATTACAATATAATATTACTACTTTATACCAATTGTGGGTCTTACCTTGTCTGTTAATACCTTTTATATATTCAAATTTATTCATTTTGAAAACCACAGACATGTAATATTGGCATAATTACTATAATTTGTATGAACTAACTTATTTGTTTATTTTATCTTTATTAGACACCACCCTAATTGGGTTTATTTTATTGCAGCATTAGTTTAACTTTGTATCTGGACCTGAAGATGCTTTGCAAATTGTAGAAAGCGAAACCGGTCGTCAGATTGTTAAATTAAATTGATTGTGAGTAAGTCTTATTATTATTTCTTTACCTATCAATAAAATAATTCTGGTAGACCAATAACA